TCCTGGACCAGATCTGCTCTATCCTTATATCCCCTTTGTTGCTAGAACACAGTCTGTGCTTAATAAGATTTCTGGAATTGAAAGAAATTGAGAGGCTGAGGCTGCATTTCTTGAATAGGTAATTAATTCCTCAAATAGGTAACTTGGTGGTACAGATTTCATCCTTCCTACTGGAGTCCAGATAGAACCTCCTGGAGACCAGAAGGTAAATGTCACAGCAGAGGTTACAAAGCCTCTGCTTTTGAGGTACCAGAGGAGCCTCACTCAGCTTGCAGACCTGTGCTAAAGGCCCCAGAGATGGATTTACCATGAAGTTAATGAAGCTTAAGCTCCAGGACCTCCCCGTTTCAAACACACACACACTTGCCCCAGCCTGCGAGGGCTGGGAGTAGCTGGGAGTTGTAGAGAGTTCCAGGCAGAAAGGGGAAGCCAGGATGCAAGTAGAAAGCATTTCTACATTACCTTCTCTGGCCAACTGACTAAAGGATCGTCGTATAAAGGAACTGAATCTTCCATGCTGCAATTAGTTGTGATTTCATTCTCATCCTCTGTAAATAGTCACTCTTGCACTAAAGATCGTATCTATAATTTTGCATTCACTTTTTAAAGGGCCCTCAAATTGTATAAAGCTCAGATCCCACAATCTGGGTCTGCCCCTGATTGACCAACAGTGTTTTAAAATATTTTTTAATTACTTATAGTTGTTCGCATTTTAAAAAGCCAATATATTTAACATTACAAACTGGATTTTCAGTTTATTTGAGCAATAGGAGGGTATGACAATGGGGGTCCATATTCCCTCCCACATGGCTATGTCACCTAGAGCTAGGTCATGGCTGTCCCACTTGGACAAGCCATCTGTTGTCCGGTTTGTTGCATGCAACCCTACTCCCACACACATTATCTCTTATCTCTGGCTCACTTGACTCCGTTGAGTTTGCAAACCTGTCTCTATACTGTATGCCTACCAGGGCACTTGTCACAGTGACTTGCACACATCCCTAAATGCATTTTCAATGAATGGATGAAAGAGGAACAAATGTTCCCTTGAAGTTGCTCATCCATCAACCATGCAAAAGAAAACAAGAGGTGATGCCAGGAATAGGCACTGAGGACAAGAAGACCATGAGACCCCTAAAGGCAGTGATGACCTTAGTGGGGTGAGGGGACTGTGCTAAGAAGGAGCCTCCTCAGTGGGGAGGACTGGAGGTCCTGAGGCCAACATAGGTGAGCTGTCCCTCTGCTTACCATCCCTTGCCCTGTCTGGAACCCAGCAGCTGATCTCAAGCTGCCCCTGGGAAAGGAGGTCTGTAAGGGGTCAGAGTTCAAGCTGACTACCTTGTGCTATGCTTTGGACTCCCACCTACAGACACAATCACTCCCATTTTGGTGGAAGGCTAAGGACCACTGTTGTGGAAGACAGAATTCTAAGGTGACCTCCACAGTGAGTGATGCCCTTGTATAATCCTCTCCCCTTCAGCATGGGACGGACGGGTAAATGTGATGGATGCATCGATGGATGCATATGACTAGGTTATATTATTTGGCAAAGACAGAGGGGTTTTGCAAATATAATTAAAGTTCCTAATTAACATGACTTTGAGTTAATCAAAAGATCATCCTCGGTGGGTTTGACCCAATCAAGGGAGCCCTTTCAAAGAGGGCTTTGGTCTTGCTGAAGAGACATGCTCTGCTGGCCTTGGGGAAGCAAGCCACTGTGAGTTCTAGAGCAGCAAGGAACCGAATTCCACCAACAACCAGTGAGCTTGGAAGAAGACACCAAGCCTCTTGTGAGTCTGCCACCCCCCCCCAGCGCCTTGACTGCAGCCTTGTGAGACCCCGAGCAGAGGTCCCCACACAAGCCACGCCTGGACTCCTGACCGTGGAAACTGTGAGATGACAAGTGCCTGTGTGGCTGTAAGCTGCTAAATTTGTGATGGTGATTTGTTACACAGCCACAGATAACTAACGCCAAAGTAAAGAAAGCCACAACAAAGGGCAAGGGTGCAGGACTGCTTGGGGTCACCATGAATGGCTGCAGATGGCTGGGGAAGAGGAAGGAACGAGGCCTAAAACATGCCAGGAAGAATGGTTCTGGGCACTCCAAATGTATCATTTCATTTAAACGTCCCATCTCTTCTGGGAAGTAAGTATTTCTAACTCCATTTTACAGATAAAATACTGAGTGTTTCAGAGGACTTTACTAACTCACTCCAGGGTATAGGCTCATGTCTCTCCTTACATCGCACTCCTCACTCTAGGCCCCAGGACAGAAGGTCACAGGGCGACAAGGCCCCTGAGAAGAGCTGCCGAGGTGGTGGAATTGCAGGATGGAGCCTGGTGGCCTCCCGAGGCGCAGCAGCTTGGGGGCTCTGGTCTCCTCCGGAACATCCTTTCCAGATTCCCCCCCCAAAAATGCTTGACTAGAGAGAGGGAAAGGATGAACTTCTATATGAGCATATTTATGTTCATAGATATTCCAAGCCATAGGGGTTTTAAATCTCAGAGGACAGATGTCAGCAGCTCCACACTATGATGGGAAAATTGAGGAGGGCTGTGGTTACCAGCATTTCCCAAATTCACTCAGAAAAAGAAAGTATGCTCCCTTACACACACACACACACACACACACACACACACACACACACTCCCAGGCCTGCAGAGGGAAAACAACTTACTCCTGTCCAACTCATCCAGGTCATGCAAACCCTTACATTCAATGCTGGCCGCGGCTGATTTCATCCCAACTTTCACTGAAAAAAATAATTCTCTGCTGAGTTGCCATGTATCTCTTCTCAGCCCCAAAGCCTTCAGGATAAAAATCTGTTTGGCTTTCACTTTTTTTTCTTTTTTTAATGTTGCTCAAAATAGTTTTCTCTACTCAGATAATTTTGCAATATTCCTTATCCCACCAATCTCTTCCCCGCAGAGGACCTCCCTGCCACACACATCTCCAAGCTGGGGGGAATTCTTCCAGGCTCTGTGGGTGCGCATGCCTGGACCTCCCCCCATTTCACCTCCTGGCATTGAAGACCAGGAGGCTGGGGCTGGACTGAGCAACAGGAAGATGTGGGGGAGGGGGTATCTCTCTGCGTGGCAGGCAAAATAACGCCCTCTCCCCCCAGGTTTGCATCCTAATCCCAGGAATCTGTGACTGTGTTACGTCAGGTGGCAAAGGGGAATTAAGGTAGCAGATGGAATTAAAGACAGTAATTAGCTGACCTTACAATTAAGATGTTTATCCTTACAATATGGTTAAGGCGGAAGAAGGGTGCAGGAAGTGGGGGAGGGATGTTATAAAGCTATAAAATGTGATAAGACATTGACCCACAATTGCTGGCTTTGAAAATGGAGGCTACCAGCCAAAGACCATGGGCGGCCTCTAGAAGCTGGACAGGGCAAAAAAGCAGGTCTCTCCAAGAGCCTCCAGAAAGGAACACAGCTCTGCTGACACCTTGATTTTGACCCACTGGGACCCATTGAGGACTTCTGACCTCCAGAATGGCAAGATAATAAATCTGTGTTGTTTTAAGCCACTAAATTTGTGGTAACGTGTTAGAGCAGGAATAGGAAAGTAACACACCGTGTATGGGAATGTTACGTAGTCACTGAGATGCTCCTAGAAACCTAATCAGCCTGTGGGCAGGCCTCCACGATGCGGTGCCCAAGAGGAACATGGGCTGGATTGCTCCGTCTCTGCCCTGACACTCCAGGAAGCAAGTTGTCTATTTCTGAAGACCTTATTTACAGAAGCGACCTGGTCAGATCCAAAGAGCTAGCTCAAGGGTAACCATCCTAAAGTGTCTTCCACAGCAGAGGATGGCGGCAGAGGCCTGGACTCAGGGCATCGTAGGTTGTCCCCATGAACTATTGTCACATCAGGTCTCCATCCGTCACCAACGAACCAGTCTTTTCAGGGTTCAGAGTACTGAGACGTAGGCAGGCATGTATGTAACAGATGACACCGGAGGGCCTACGTGCGTATGAGGTTGTAAACAAACCCATATTAAGCACGTATATAGCGTGGCTTTTATTTTCTCTGCTGCCAACTATTAAGCTAGCTTCTCGAGACCAGGGTCTTTATTTTATTTATTGATGTTCCTATTAACACCTGGCGCATTCTAAACGTGCATTAACTCCCTGTCGGATATGGAATGGATTCTCCCCCGACGAGGGACTCACTCGCAGGAGATGCCTTTGAACCTTTCCAAGCTCAGCCCAACCGAAGCTCCGACATGCCCCCTGCTGCAGGGCCCCTCCCTAGTTAGAGCCCAATAGGGTATTTGGCTCCAGAAACTTCCCCCGCCCTCCCCCCTCCCCCCTTCCCCGGGAGAGGGTGGGGGGGAGCACTGTGTCCCGGTTGGATCTCCAGACACATTGAGTCAGATTTGTGCCCAAAAAGCTTATCCCAGGAAAGTGAAAGGCTTTCCCTTTTCTCCGTGGAAATGTATCCAAGTCTGATAGTGGAGCTGCAAGATGTGTAATCGTCCCTGTCTGTGCACTGAGGCCTCGAACAGAGGGGAGGGAATGTAGGGGGTCCGGTCGGTTGGAAGCTTTGCTTCTTTTCGGGGGGTCCGGCTTGTGTCCGAAGAGCCCCGCGTGGACCGTCCCTCGCGCGCGCACGTCTGGGGCGCAGCGATCCCCGAGCCGCGCCCCTCGCGGGCAGGAGCCGGGCGGGGAAGCCCCGCTGCGCACGCCCAGCCGGGAGCCCGCGAGCGCGCCACCTGCAAGCCCGCCGCGGCGTCGCAGCCCTTCCTTCTGTCCTTTGCGCTTCGGCTCTCAGCTCTGCCCCTGGCCGGGATCCCCGACCGGGCCCTGCCGCCCTCCCGCTCGGCCCGCCGCAAAGAGTTAAGAGCCGGCTCCCGAGCGCCGGCCGGCCGCGGCAGGGCCCCGGCCCGCTCGCCGCTCCTGATTGGCTGTGCGCCTGTCAGTAGTAAAGAGTATCAGATAGCAAACTTGGGACCTTCATAAAGGCGTGGTGGTGATACTCCGCAATCGCGGGCAGCCTATGACATCAGCCAGGAACGCCTGGGATGCCGCTGCTCCTGGCCAACCTCCGAGAAGGAGGAGGGTCCTGCCGGCTAAGAGTTAATTAGCCCCGCGCGGCGAGGGGGGAGGCGCCAGTTTTCTGGGGACACTGGCTGCCACTGTACTCCCACCCAGGGGAGCTCACCGAGAGTTGGATGAATTCTGGGCTATTAGCTGCGGTCATCCGGGCTCCCGAGAGCCTGTTCCTGGTGGAAAACAGGGGGCGTCTGGCAAAGGGACCAGCGGCTTCCTGAGCCTGTCAACATGACACTTCTGGGGTCTGAGCATTCTTTGCTGATTAGGAGCAAGTTCAGATCAGGTAGGGCTAAGGCATTTAGCATTCCTTCTTACACTTTCCTCTGCTGCCATTCTCAACCTGCTTTCCAGTGAATGTTTCAAAGCCCGCCGTGGCTAGCTCAACTTTGTTCCCCAAAAGCACATTTTGGAAGTGAAGAATTTTATCTGACTTTGGGGACCTTTTAATGTCTTCCGTTGTAAATGCTTTGAGTTGTTGAATGTGGTTTTTCGTTTGTGAAAAGGCCAATCCTTTTTTATTTTATTTTATTTTCCTCTGGATCTATGAATAGAAATTTTGGAGGGGTACGTCCAAAAGGAGCAACTTTGAAAATGAACAAATAAGGGATTTCAAGCTTGGGAGCTGCGTGTTATCAGTTGTACTTGCTGAGAAGATGAACCTGACACTGTGTATTAGGTACAGGGGTCACTTAAAATGTAGCTAATCCAAACAAATGTATTTCCCAAAAAAGTCACTTGGGGGAAGTAAAAATAGCAAATTTGGAGCACACCAAGTATTTGAAATGACATCACTGTAGGAAAAAGAAAGAAAGAAAGCCCAGTGCCACAAATATTTTTTCCCAAACCATCTGATATTTATAAACAGAGGATTTTCCCCCAAATTTCTGTGTTAGTGGCACATGGAGAAACTTCTCAAAAGATGCTGAGTGGAGGTGAGTAGAAGGGAGCGATGGGAACTCTAACTGCTCCTCAAGAAGGGTTTGTGCACACGCCCATGGAAGGAGTCAGTGTGGGGGTCTCCACGGTTAGACAAGGAGACACTTGACTTCTGAAATTATTTTTCAGTAGCTCTGCGTATAATGTTGGTTTTATAAAAGTGTTAACAATCCACTGAATAATGGCAGAACTTCTTCTACTTAGGAGATGGATTAGTTTTATGAGACCTCTGATGTGAGCATAACAGGTGTCAGAAAGACGGTGGCATAGTTTGCTAAACCTAAGTTTTCCTTAGCCCTTCGAAACAGCGTCACCCCATTGTTTCACTTGGGATGGATAGTTCGAGAATGAGAAAAGTGGATGCCGAGAAGTAAGGATCATCCGTGACTTTCTTAGGTGCCCTTGGTTTTTAGATGTCTGTGGGGTCAACTGGAGATTTTCTTAGGATCTGCACTGTTGAAGCAAGTTGAAAACTTAAGAGCTTAGGCACAAACCTCAGTGTCTCTGAAGCTCCAGGACGAGGTTGCCAGCCTCCCGGGCCAACAGTAGATTAAGTCTTTCCTTTCCTTCCCATGCTGTGGTAAGGTGGTTGGTCTGTTAATCAACTGGAGACCTCATCACTGCTTTGTAATTTGGTTAAAACCGCAAGGCAACACTGCCACCTTTCTGAAGAACAGAGGATGCAGATTTGTTTTGCATGAAGCTACATTCATTTCACTCTCTCGCTAGTTTAATGTGGGAGGGTGAGGAGGGGCTGGTTTGTCTCTAAAAGGATTTGGTGATGTACTTGATAGTAGACTTGCAAAACAGACTTATCAAAGGAATTCTTCCTTCAGCTAAAGTACAGAGGAGAGGGAAGGCAGTTTTTGTGCAGCCAGCAATTGCCACCTCAGCAGATTTGTGGAGTCTTGGGGTCTCCCAGGTAGACCCTGCAGACCCTTCTCCTGGAGCTTCAGAGAATTCCAGCCTCACCTTTCTTTTTAAGCTTGTACAGGATTTTGTGTCATAAAGAAGGGTAGCTGGGGAAAAGATGATATCAAAGCAGGAGCAGGCGTGCTTAATCCTTCATCTTTGGTAAACAGGCAACCTGGCGTCTGGAAAGGACAAAGTGGTTTGGTCATCTGAGATGCAAGGACTGATAGTCTCTTGAAAGACAGAGGAAAAAAAACAAGCAGAATGTAAAAACTTGGAAAATGTAATGTTGAGGATGGTGGTTATTCTTTCTGGATATAATTATGAGTAGAGCTGCACCAGCGTGAGGTCTGGCTGGCAGCACGGTAACAGGAGGGCCTCTCTCTAAAAGAGCTCGGTTTGTTTACTTTGTCACTAAAAATGGATAGTAAGGGCCTTGTCTTCCTCATCTTCATTTTGATTTCTCTCTCTCTCTGTTTTCTTCTTGTTCTTCTCTTCTCCTTCTCCTCTTTCATGAGCAACTCAAATAGTAAACTCATACGGTAGTTTCTGTCTCATTGCAAATATTTGCTTTGATAGTAGATACTGGTATTATGTATTTCATTAAAAGTATTTAAAAAAATAAATGCAGCTAAACTGTTCTCTGATGAGAGCAATGGACTTGCGGTGACAGGGCTTGTTTATAAGTGGATAGATAACTGCTTGGATGCCAACTGCGTCTGACCAACTTTCTGTGCGCTATATTTAAGTGACCTTGTGATTAAAAAGACAAAATTATTATACAGCAGCAGCAAACCAAAAGTTTACACATATGAACAAGTTTAGTGATATAAACTCATCTTATGTGAGAGGCCATTGACTGTGTGGTTCTGGGGCCAGTCGAGCTGGGTTTTTAGCTGTTGCTTCTACTTATTAGCTGTCTGACGTTGAACCTTATTGTATAAGTAAGTCTCTGTGCCTCTACTTGAGGCACCTGAATAATGAGGATGATTATAGAGTCATCGTGAGACTCAAATGGGATAATACAAGTAGAGCATTTAGAACAATAGCAGGCCCTTAGAAATACCTCACAAAATATTGATCTATTATTAATATTAATATGCAGTGGGATCCTCAGTTGGTCATTTCCTCTCTCTGGGTCTTGGTTACTTAATCTGTAAATGTCAAAGTTTGGTGACATTTTATAGTTCTCTGAAAATCAATATTGACTGTGACCAAGCAGAACTGTGATTGGTTTGTGTGTCAGCTGGGCATAGTAGGCAGTTTACATAAATGCAATAATTTGTGTTACTTTTAAACTAACCACATTTTTACAGTTTTTAATCTTTCCACTGTTGTTCCATTCAATATCTGTAATCACTGTCACTGTCAATGATTTTTCTCAACATCAGTCTCATATCTTACAAAACACAAGGGCATATACATATGTGGTTTGCACACACACATATACACATGCACACACACACACATGCCTCATACACAAAGGATCAAAAGCAGAGAGAGATCTGTTAATGGATTTCGCTTCTAAAGAACCATCATGCTTGTTTTGCTTCTCTGTCTTTTCTCCCCACGTCCTCATCTCGAACAGCCCCAGCAAAGGCAAACTCTGGTAACTGCCATGACCTTTCCCCCACCCCCACAAATGCAAGGTTGTCAGATCTAGCAAATAAAAATATAGGATGCCCAGTTCAATTTGAATTTGACACAATGATGCATTTTTTAAATACATATATAGCAACATTTGGGACATAGTTTATCTGAAGTCCGAATTTCACTGGGCCTCCTGGATTTTATCTGGCAACCCCACCTACCATCTGAGCAGTCTCTCATCAACACTCCACCGCTCCATCCAATATCACATCAAGCTCTTGAGATTGTGGGTTCCCAAAGACTCCCCCAAATGGAAAACTTATATTTTAGGCATGAAATCGGAAGACTGGGAATGGGGAGGGGGTGCCATGGGAATGACCTCTGAGGGCCCTGGCATCAAGCCAGACTATGGAGTGAGGAAGAACGGGGGCTTCGCTTCTGGTTCTCTGACCAGATAAGCTCGGCAGGCAGGCTGGGCTCAGGAGGCAGGGGCTCTAGAAGTTGGAGCTGCAGCTAAAAGAAACCAAAGATAAATGCAAAGCAGCCACTCAAGAGCAGGGGCCGAACTCGGCTGAACATCAGGTGATGGAACACACCAACACCGTGTTATTCCAGCCCCAGTAGCACCCAGAATCGGGCCTCTGGTGCCTGCAGGCGTTTGCTTGTCCTTCCAGAGAGAGCTAGGGCCATCTCAGCGGGACCCTGGGGTCATCCCTCTCCGTTCTTTCTCTAGTCTCCAGCCTTCAGGTAACCTAAAGGACTACTGATTCCTACTGTACGCTAGATCCTTAACATCTCTGGGACTGAATGTTCTCTCTTATGAGTTGAGGCTGGACTAAGAGGTTGGTCCCCAAGATTTTACCCTAATGACCACTATTGAAGAAAGTGCCACCATGAGCTCAAGAGAAGCCCACACTCTAGTCCTACCTTCTCCGTTAATTAGTTTTTTAGTTTAGGACAAACAATTTAACCTAAAAGAATGCCTTTCCCATAATATGTAATATAAATGTATATGTCTCTAATTTAAATGACCACTTTAGACTTTGTTTCTGTCATCTACAAAATAGAGGATTTTGACTGGTTCATCTCTCAAGTTGCTTCCGTTCCTAAGATTTGATGTTTTTCCAAGTGAATGGCCTCAAGCATTTTTGTAACTGCTTGATCAAAGCATTATTGTATGAGAACACAATTAGCTGGAACTTAAAAGATGAATGCATTTTAATTCTTAAATGGTAATTTAAAATCTTTTTTAAAAGCCAAAGGAGCATCCAAGATCTGGTTCAGGACACATGCTCGAGATCATCGCTCTCTCCTCAAGTCCGGCTGTACTGGATTTACTCCCAGACCACGGCCGTCCCCACCATCATAACCATGATGGCAGATCCCAGCCCCATCTTTCCTGCCCGTTTTATTCCTTAGCTCTTATCACAATTGGACAGACCAAACCTTTCACTTGTCTATTATTTGCCCATGAGGGCAGAAATTTTTACTTGTTTCTTGTTCTCACTACTTTTAGTCTCCAGCATCTAGAACAGCACTTGGTGTAGAGAAAGCACCCATTAAATATACGTTGAATAATTATGTTTTATTCTTTCCCCAAAGACTATTCAAAAGCAATAAAAGTAAACAATGTATGTTTATTGTTAGGCATATGACTATATGTGTGTTAAAACTACATTTAAAAAGGGAGGAGTGAATATAAATACAAAATTCAGAGTCACAGCAGGGTGGGAGAAGCTAGATGGGGAGACGGGGCATAGCTCAAAGGTTAGCAGGTTATTCGTGTGGTTTTTAGGTTAGGCTGTAGTTTCATTCATGTTTATTATTAAGCAAATAATTAAATGA